AGCGAAGACACCTGCGTCGATGCAGTTTTCCAGCGTCGCGCGAGAAGGATGTCCGAGGCGCTGGTGCCAGAGTGCATCGTCAGCGCGAAAGCCGGAGGTGCGCATGTAGCGCGCGCGCGCTTCCTCAGGGTCTTCGTCAGGTACAGGGGCAGGTTCTGCTGCTACTTCCTCTGCTTCGTCTTCTTCTTCCGCAGTGGTCAGCATCAGCGCCAAGAACTCTCTGTCGCGAATTTCAGAGAGCGGGATGTTGGTCCCAGGGATGGTTCCAGGGATGAGGGTAGGTGCGCGTGGCTCAGGGGCAGGTCCGTAGACGGTGCGACGCGGGGTTGACGGCTCGTTGCCCCAGATGATGGTGTCCCACGGGTCGCGATGCGGGGGAATGTCTGCAGGAGGTGGTGCGAATGGGATGTGACGCGGGGGACGACCAAGAGGAACGACTGCAGGCGTTGCTTCAGTTTCTTCGGCTTCTTCCTCTCCCCCCCTTCGTTCTTCGTGGGAAGTACCCCATCCGCTGTTGTCGGCGGTAGGTACGGCGCCCCATCCGCCGCTCGCGTTAGCCCAAGTTCCGCCGTCATTTGCCCATCCGCCGGTGTCGCTCGTTCCCCATCCTCCAGCGCTCCCCCACCCCCCTTCATTGGAGGCACTCTCTTCTGCTTCGGCTCCCCATACGCCGCAAGCGAAGGTCCCACGCGCTTCGGCGAGGCTTTGCTGGCGAAGCTCCTCATCTTCGCGTTGCGCCAATTCTTCTTCTTGCTCCACGGTAAGTTTCACTGAGGGGTCGAGCCGGTGAGAGTAGACCTTTCGGAATTCCTTGAGAGTGTAGGGGCGTGGAACTCCGCGTGAGTCCAAGCTTCCGCGGCGTTGTCCTCGTAGGATGTTCTCGAGTCGCTGGGAGGGAGGTCCAGCGTGGGGGCTTTGATCGGGACCGAATACGCGGCGGGTAGTCTCTTCGACCTTGAGCTGCGACATCCCTTCTTCAGGTGGCGCGTGGCGCTCTGCTTCGGCGATGGCGGCGAGTCCGCGTCCCGCAATTGCGCCCGTTGATGTCGTTGGCGTGTGGCAGTCCCTGCAGATGCCATCAGGATCGGGGTTGTGCAACGCCGTCTCACATGGGTGAGGATGATGTGGCACCCACGGCCTCCCGCCAGGGTGCTTCCAATCCCTGCGGTGGATGTGCTCGAAGCGAAGTGGCACGAGGTTAATCGGCTCGTGCGAGTCGCCGCTGCAGTCGGGGATGTCGAAATCCAGGACATACACTCCATTTTCGGAGTGCGCTCGTCCGATCTGCCTGCGGGGGAAGTTGCGTGCTTCGTAGTGCAGCAGGATGTCTCGCGTCGCGCGGTCCGTGCTGAGGTCGACGCCGCAATCCATGAGCTGTGCGGCGGACAGGAGGTTGAAGCGCAGGTTCTGGACTATCAGCACATCATTAAGAGTGATGTGCGTGCGGCTTCCACGTGCTTTGAGCACGACAATGCGCTTGCGCGCAGGCGCGTGTTGTTCGCCACGGTGACGTAGGTGACGGTAGGGGTGGGGACGGCGTTGGATATGTAACGCTCGGACCCCACCATATGCTGGCCGCAGCAGCTGTCCAGGTACCAGGTGTTGTAGCGCTTGTTTTCGTCGCGTGCGAGCAGCGCCAGTCGCGGCATGACGATGTGCGGAGTATCGAACTTCAAAAAATGCTCGCGCGTGAGCCAATCAAGTGGCGCCACCCGCATATCAGGTACGTGCGGGGGACTTTCAAGCAGCGGGACTGGAAGGTTCCAGTCTTGGTCGTCGTCGTCGGTGAAGTCGTGGCGCGAGCTAAATGAGTTGTTGTTGGTGAACGCGCCAATGGGGTGCGGTGCCGGCTCAGGTGACGGTGAGCGAACGCGGCGACGACGCGACTCGCCTGTCATGGCCATGTTGCTCATGACATTGCGAACTGGGGCAGTCGATGACGGCTGCTGCTGCTGATGCTGAACCGCTGGGTTCAGGTTGCGCGCGGGAGGGGGCTGATACCCCTGGGCTGGACGCACGTCGCCTCATGCGTCTTGACGGCCGGACCAAGTGCTCGGATTGGTCTGGCGAGGGCGAGATCGGTTCTTGCATCGATCCGCCAGATGCCCGAAATTTCTGCAAATTTTGCAGTAGAGGCGCCGTGGCTTTCGCTCTTCGGTGTTGTCGGCGTAGAAGGCGAGCCGTTCACGTTCTCATCGCAGCGCAGGTCGCTGCTGATCCATATCCCTCTGTTCGACGAGAAGGGCGGCGCAAAGGGCGGCCTCCGAGATGACCCCCTGCTGTCGGAGTGACGCCTTGCAGGGCCGCCACTCTGGGCCGAGCCCCTGAAGCACGATGTTGACGAAGATTTCTTCGGAAATCGAGCTTCCCAGCTTCACGATTTGATCGCGAAGGCTCCGACAGCGATTAAGGTAGTTGTTGACCTTCTCCCCTGCGGTCATCTTAGTTTCCAGGAGTTCCTGGAGTAGTCGGCTCGAAGAGACGGAGTCCTTGGGCTGGTAGACTCCTGTCAGGTGCCGCCAGGCGTTGAGGGCTGGAGCGGTCGAGGTCTTGTACGAACGAATGTTGAGCTGTTCCGCCGGCGACACATTCCGTAGGAGCACCCCGTACGCCATCAGCGATTCGTTGTAATACCTCGCTTTGGCGTCGTCGGTGTCCTCAGCGGGCTCCGCGTAGCTCCCGTCAAAGTAGTGGAAGATTTGGGCGTTCTGCAGCAGGAGCTCCAACTCGAAGCTCCAGGTATAAAAATCTCTGCCGTCAAAACAGGTACTTGTCTTTATTTTTGATATGCTGAGAAACCTTGATTGAGCAGAGAGAATTGCCTCTTCGCTGGGACGGGGAGTCTTGGGGGTTGAGCCATTGGTGTCGAGGGAGAATGTTTGCGGGGTGGCGTTCTGGCCAGTCGGGGCCGGTTGAGAAGGTTGCGAGGATGTTCCCGCATCGCCATTCCGCAATGTTTGGAGCCCTTGCTCCAAGCTGGTGAGTCGCTGAAAGAGTTGTGCGAGAACTTCGGAGCCGATTGTCGTCGTGTTCTCGCTTGTCGCAGCCGGGTTGGGTTGCGCTTCAGCCGTCAGATTAGTCTGACCACCAGATCCTCCGGCCATCTTCACTCGTGAGCGTGTGCCGGACGCCACTTTCCGAATGTCGCAATTTTCGGGAGTGGCAGTGCGAAGGATTCCCGAGCCGCTCTCATACCATGCTGCGATCAGAAGTTGATCGTGGCCTAGGATCTACTCAGGAAGGTTCGCACGCAGGTAGATAGTGTTGGTGGGCCCTTGACCTCAATAGCAGAGTGAATGTAAAATGCTTGAGATGATTAAAACATGCAAATACAGGAAATATAAATATGAGTACAGGGAAGACGAAACGACCTAGCTAGCCATGTACTCTAAGGGGTACATTCCCTTATTCAAATACATTCCCAACCGTGCGGCGCGTACAGTTTCGTAACTGTTCCCGCCAAAACCATCCTGCCAGCAGCTTCCCGATGCCGTCTGCTCCGACGGTCCAGATGTGCTGTAACCGTCCGACGCTTCGATTCAATTCCAACCGTCTGACGCTTCGCGTTCATTCCCGATACTGCGTGCTTCTCTTTGCTGCGGTGAGGAGTGCAGAGTACTATCAAATATCACTATTCGTAACATACAGTAACACAAGTACACTAACATTGTATAGTAGCCGAAGAATCAAAACCAATTAGGGTCAAAGTACACACTTTCTTGTACATACATAGTTGTGAGCGACCCATGTTTCACACGCAGACCAAGGAAATCGTGGAAACCGCAGTTGGAAACAGCCTTTACTGTTTCCATTTACAGTTAAGGGTCCTGAACACTTGCCAGCTCGGAATTTTGTGCCGGCCAGAATCTGAAAATTTCCACTTCTGTCTGTTCCCTGATGACGGGAAATGTCTATCGAACAAAGCCAAAATCCTAGGGAGGACCTTGGCGTGCTGCAAGCCATGCGATGGCAACGAATCCTGCCAACGCTGCCAACTGTGCAACCCTGATTGGTCGGATTACAGCTTTGCTGTGCCAACGCGATTGTGTGGTGCAGCGTGGGGAGAATTCGTGTGTTACTACTGAAACACTGATTTCTTGCTTTGAACCCTGACCAATCAGAGTGAGTCGACGCTGGACACTGATAAATCAAAGTAGCCAACTTCTGAAAAATGTGCACCCATAATACAAGGGGGTTTTTTTTTCCCGAATTCAGGGTGGCCAAAACTGAAACGCCAGCCCTGTAACACACTACAGTTTATGCACTTTTTGCGCGTCACAAAGTAATTGAGACACATATGCCCATATGAGGATGTACCCTAAGAACGCTCTGGGAGTGGGGATAGTGATGAGGTTGCATGTCCTTCAGTATACTTTTGGAGCCATCAACTTTTGACGATTGAGTCAGGTGAGGGGTTGGGTTTGAACTTGTCGCTGTGTCCGAAGTCGAGAGACCCTGTAATTTGGTTACCACCGTGTACCTACTTTTGGCATTTCCCCTGCCAAATGTATATTGTTGCTTTAATGTGCGGCTAGATGATATTGTAAGGTTATTGGTAGTGCTTCAGGGTGTGAAGGGCGGATTCTCCAATGTACCCCACCTGTGTGACCAATGACAGTACGGTAGGAGGTAAATACACAGGTCATCTCACCCTTAGATTATACCACATTGTTAAAAGTGGGCAATAAATAGTAATAATTAGGGAGAAGAGTCTCACGTGCGTGGGTGTGTGTGCGCGCTCATTTTGTACATGGTGAAATAGTGAATGTACAATACAAAATGATGCTCCCATTCAGACTACATGAAGAATGGTCCGGACTCCAGGGCCAGAACGCGCATGAACACATGCTACATGCAACAGGGCAGGACTCAACATACAGCAGCAATGACAAGGACCAGACAATGCGTAAGTATACAGCGGAAGGCACAAAGAGTGCCTCCAACTGTAGGCTCTGAACTCACCCACTAGCAACCATTGAGATGAAAAGTAGTGCATTCATCTATCGTGGCACGCATATAAATTTTGCCCCAACATTCTTGGCACAGGCATTGCCATTATAGGTGTTAAAATCTGCAGCTGCTTGGGTCATAGTGCCGCCATAGTAGCTGTAAACAGCGGAACAGGACAGCGATGGCGACACATTCTTGGGTCGGCCCTTGGTGCATTTGCCGAGTTCAAACGGCCAATATTCCGCTTTCAGGCACACCTGGAGTGCAGGAAGGGCAGAGGGCAGAGGGCAGGGAGGATGGGTGCAACAAGGGAAGGTAGTGGACGGATGAATAGATCATACATTCTTAAAAAAACATGCCATAGTGAACCGTGTGAGGAGCACTGCGAGGTTCAATTATTGGTGAGATCTATAAGACAGAAAACCTCATGGGGCTCCTCTTTCTCCCAAGCTACCACCTCCCTGCCTAATCCTGTTCCTGCCCCACATCCACCCCTCACCTCCACGCCAGCATTGCTGCCAACAGCCGAAGCAGAAGAAGGGACGACGTTGGAGCAGAGAAGGCCGGGATTGTTGCGGTAAAGCTCAGCCCAGACGGACGGATCGTTCTGCAATCCTTGCCCCTGCAGCATTTTCTCGCACGTGTCGTCTGCTGTGAGAATGGTGTACTTCACACACTCAGGCACGGTGTAGGCGTATGTGTCATTGCGCTCCACACAGATAGAGCGGCCGGCCTTGATGGTTTGCGTGCAGTCAAGGCCAGGGTTGAGATTCATGAGATCATTCACGGAAGTGCGAAGCGATTTGGCAATGGAAAGACACGTGTCACCCTGGAGGAAGAAGGGAGCCGAGAGGGGGATGAGACATGATAAGAAAGAAGTAAGGGTGATCCACCGGATCCGAGTAATAGGATCAGTCGCTGCACCAGATAAAACATATATATGGGGCAAGGAAGGGGCTCTAGCACTCACGCTGAGAGTGTAGAAGTAGGCGGTGCAGGGGATGGCAGGAGTATCGACGAACCGAAGCCTTCTGCCTTTTGGCAAGGCTTTGGTGCACACGACAGTCTGCGTTAAGAAGCACAGGCATGACACGGGGGGGGGGCATTCAGAGGCACAGATATGACACAGGGGGGGGCATTCAGAGGCACAGATATGGCACAGCGGGGGGCATTCAGAGGCACAGATATGACACAGCGGGGGGCATTCAGAGGCACAGATATGACACAGCGGGGGGCATTCAGAGGCACAGATATGACACCGGGGGGGGCACTCAGAGGCACAGATATGACACAGCGGGGGGCATTCAGAGGCACAGATATGACACAGCGGGGGGCATTCAGAGGCACAGATATGACACAGCGGGGGGCATTCAGAGGCACAGATATGACACAGCGGGGGGCATTCAGAGGCACAGATATGACACAGCGGGGGGCATTCAGAGGCACAGATATGACACGGGGGGGGGCACTCAGAGGCACAGATATGACACAGCGGGGGGCATTCAGAGGCACAGACATGACACAGCGGGGGGCATTCAGAGGCACAGATATGACACAGCGGGGGGCATTCAGAGGCACAGATATGACACAGCGGGGGGCATTCAGAGGCACAGATATGACACAGCGGGGGGCATTCAGAGGCACAGATATGACACAGCGGGGGGCATTCAGAGGCACAGATATGACACAGCGGGGGGCATTCAGAGGCACAGATATGACACAGCGGGGGGCATTCAGAGGCACAGATATGACACAGCGGGGGGCATTCAGAGGCACAGATATGACACAGCGGGGGGCATTCAGAGGCACAGATATGACACGGCGGGGGGCATTCAGAGGCACAGACATGACACAGCGGGGGGCTTTTAGAGGCACAGGTATAAAGGGCGGCAAGAAGCGCACTCATGATTGTAACCTCGCATCTCTTCCAGCACCTCGCTCCCCTCTGGCAAGCCAATCAATCCGAACCCTGCATCTCACATTCCATCCTATGCTTTCCATGTGTACCATAGAAGCATGCCAGCAAGCAAGCCAGTTTCTTCTACACTTATCCTTCCCAATCCCCTGTGCCCTGGTCATGCATGCCATGATCTCCCGCCAGTCTGAGTAGTTTTTCCTTACTGGGTTCTGCGTTGTGAACTGCGATAGGGTGAGGCCCACGAGAGGGTAGATGTCGGAGCACAACCAGTTGTCTCCTGTCACAACCAAGTTGATGGCGGTGGTGTTGGCTGGAAGACGGAGGGGGGAGTGAAGGAGGGAGAACGGAAGAGTTTGAAGAACTTAGCAGAAAAAAGGTATGGATGAGAGTGAAGAGAGCATGAACAGCAGTGAGAGCATCAAAGTGAAAGGGCAGGGTGTGATTGCACTGCTCGAGCAATATTGAGCTGCACTAGTGGAGTGGAAAAGTGAGAGTTCATTTCAAGGAATGGCAAGAGAGAAGCTGTGAGAAAACGAGGAGGTAGAGAGAAGGTGGGGGAGCAGGAGCACCTGGGTCGCAGGTGGGGAACTTGTCGATGGTTGTGCTGTTGACGTAGTTGAGTGGGCAGATGCAGGAGTAGGAGCCCTTGCCATCGTTGATGCATGTGCCCACGGCGCAGGGGTTCTTGAAGTACGACCCACACACGTCCACTGTGAGAGGAGAGAGCGGAGAGAGGGGGACAGAGAGAGGTGGAAGGAGATGGAGGGAGGCAGAGAGCTTTCGGTGCAGATAGAGGGGCACTGAGTGAAGTGGGCGTGAATGCTTCCCTGTCATGTCTGCCTGTCCACCAGAACTGTGTCTCTCAATATTACTTGATCTTACGTTCACTTAGATTGCCCAAGGAGACATGTCTATTCTTGGACATAGAAAACAGCACAAAAAAAGCCTGTCTCACCATAGACACAAGTGTTTGAAGCATGTCTCACCATAGACACAAGTGTTTCCATAGCCATTCGCAGCCTCAACAAAGGGTTGCTTGGTCTGAGGGGCGGGAAGGGTGCAGGCGCAGGTGTTGTTGTTGGTCTTGGGGAAGGGTGTGCAGGTGAAGCGACCACACGGGTTCATGCTGGGCTGCAGGTCTCCATCACCCTTGTAGCTATTGAAGCCACATGGGTCCCCTGGAACTGCACAGCACAAAAGCGGGCAAAAACGAGGGGCCGGGAGATTAGGGAAGGTTTGTGTGCGTATAGGGATGGCTGATGAAAAAAAACCCAAGAGAAACAGCAGTCGTATCGCCAGAGTCGGAAAATAGAGAGCTAGCTGTCCTTCCTCAATATGATGATTTGAGTTGAGTAGCAAGTTGCTACAGACTATGAAGCCCAAGCCTCAGGCTTGACAAGGATCAGACTAATGCCCATGCCATGTGTATGAGTGAGTTAGATAATGAGAATAGGGTAGATGCCTCACTCTTGACAATGGGGTAGATGCCAGGCAGCACGTTGATGCCACACACGCCATCCCCTCCCTGCATGTCCATGCGCATGTGGCCTCTGTCTCCCCACGCCTCGCCCCACGAGTTGCGGATGATCCAAAACGGAGGCGCAATGCGGTTCTCGCTACCGTCATTCCTCAACACGAGGTAGCCAATAACGAGTACAACGTGATTAAGGTTGCCGGTATAGCAGGCAGGATCTTGGTACTTGAAGGTCTGAAGACATAGGGAAAATGAGTAAGCGTAATGTACAGAACCATGCATTTATGAGGTGTACGCTCATGGCAAAATAAAATGATCAGATTACAAACATGAGTAGCTAGCACGCACGCCTGCATGCGCACACACGCACGCACGCACGCACGCACGCACGCACGCACGCACGCACGCACGCACACACACACACACACACACACACACACACACACACACACACACACACACACACACACACAGGCAGAGACACACGCATACATGCACACACACACATGCACTTCGAGGCAATAAACCCAGCCTAGACGTTTTTCTCCCCAGGCAGCACTCACCCCATCGTATTTGGCGAATGAAGCAGCCAACGCTTCAACGTGAACCACCACTGGCTGCCGCTGCACTGCCAGCATGAGCCCCACATACCCCTTGAAGGCAGTGCGCTCAAAACCCTGGACTGGAAACGTGATTTTCTGGAGCACGAGGAATTTGTCAGGGTTGGGAAGAGAGGTGAAAGTGAGGTAAAATGGCAAAAGAAGGTGAGTGTGTGAGGCTCTAAGCAGCCAAGATGTTCATTCAATGCACATGTAATGTAACCGCCCACAGGAGGCCGACAGTAAAAATCGCTGCAGACTATCTGTTTGGTTAGGCTTCATAGGCAATCTAATGTGCAGTATCATGGTGGTAATTAACTTAAGGCCAGTTTTTTCCATCTGGTTCAAGTCGATTTTTTTTTTGGTTCCAACACAATTAGGATTAAGTGCTAACACCAAGCGAAATTCTAGTTGGTACCAGTTGAATATTTGAACCGGCTCGGTCCGCATTTCACTTTAACCACCTGGTAGTTCGAACCGATAAAAATTATTCCATCGCTTTCAAAAGCCTCATTGCTACCCAGATTTTTATCCACTGAACCAGAATCAACCCAGATGGGTAAGTATTTCTACCACACAGTGACATAAATAATTGCCATCCATACGTTACTGCCTTGCCTTCCATACCTTATTGCCTTCCATACCTTAATGCATTCCATACCTTAATGCTTTCCACAACTTATTGCCTTCCATACCACATTGCCTTCCATACCACATTGCCTTCCATACCCCATTGCCTTCCATACCTTATAATCTTCCATACCTCTCTGCCTTCCATACCTTATTGCCTTCCATGGTGATGGCCCCTGCAGGCAGCGCCATTAGCTTCTCAAAGGCTTCAGTGGGGGAGCCACCAGCGGTGCACTTGGCTGCCTGGGTGGTAAGATTCATGGCTGTGAAGAGTGAATCCACTGATATCACTGGCGCCTCTTGGTTCGTTGCGATGCCGTATGCTGCTTCTATGCTCGACACCACTGCGTACGCCCAGCATGCATCTGAAGGAGAGGGCACAGAAGGAGGGCGGAAGAAAGAACAGGAAATACCTGGTTATGGTGGCAAGGCAAGAGGAAGAACCAATGCAGGAAAAATGCTTAAGAAGTGAAGAAATGAGTCAAAATTGGTACTGGAAACTTGAGACTCCATAAAATAAAAAATGTTAAGTAAATTCATAAAAAAATCACACACACACACACACACACACACACACACACACCACACACACACACACACACACACACACACACACACACACACACACACACACACACACACACACACAAACATAACGAAGCATTATGGATTGGAACTCACTGCAATCACCCTGGTCCCATGTTGCACTCCTCACAACAGCACACCTCCCCCCCACTGCCCGCTTGTCACTCACTGCAATCTTTCTGGTCCTTGACGGGCCAGCCGAGGAAGGGCACGGCGTCCCAGGAGTGGAGGTCCCTGAAGACCCACGAGTCCTTCTGCCCGGCCGACACTCGGTAGTCCGCACTCACATAGCGCGGGAAGGGGCTCGCTCTTGTGGGCACATACGTGTTCAGTGATACGTCTAAACCGTAGGCTGTAGTGGGTGGGAGGAATGGGTGTGGGGATTTGGGGAGGGTGGGGGCAGAGGGAGAGGGATGTCAGCGGGGGGAGAGCAGGTGGAGGGGGACAGAAGGTGAAGTGGCAGATGGGAAGTGTTTAGAGCAGGTCTGAGGGCTGTGGGTGGGTGGGCTGGCCCTGGTCCGGTCCGGTCAAGGCCCAACTAGGTCGGCTCTTATGCATGTCTATCAACAAACAGGTATGTGAAACTTCCATCAGATATGTTTTCTGGCGACTGTTACCATGATTCGATCAGGTGCAGAGCAGGTGTCATAAGGTAAACTGTGTGTTAACAAGGGCGTGCAATGACTTGCCTGGGGTGATGTTGACTGGACCCCGAGCAGTTGCAATGGCAACAGTATCATAAGGTAAACTGTGTGTTACCAAGAGGCGTGCCATGACTTGCCTGGGGTGATGTTGACTCGACCCCGAGCAGTTGCAATGGCGACAGTATCATAAGGTAAACTGTGTGTTACCAAGAGGCGTGTCATGACTTGCCTGGGGTGATGTTGACTGGACCCCGAGCAGTTGCAATGGCGACAGTATCATAAGGTAAACTGTGTGTTACCAAGAGGCGTGCCATGACTTGCCTGGGGTGATGTTGACTCGACCCCGAGCAGTTGCAATGGCGACAGTATCATAAGGTAAACTGTGTGTTACCAAGAGGCGTGCCATGACTTGCCTGGGGTGATGTTGACTGGACCCCGAGCAGTTGCAATGGCGACAGTATCATAAGGTAAACTGTGTGTTACCAAGAGGCGTGCCATGACTTGCCTGGGGTGATGTTGACTGGACCCCTTGCAGGAGGCGCATCTGCCAAAGGGGAAGCACGCAAGGATGAAAAGAAGAGAAAGCAGAAATGAATGAATTGAAAGTACGAGCAACGCACTGGTAATGTGTGAAAATAAGGACGGCCACTCAAGGCATTCGTGGGCAAGGTCCACTAGAGAGGGAGGGCCCACCTTTGGGTCCAAAGGGGCCGCCAGGCTCCCCACCTGTGCGCAGGGCAGAGGTGGCGATGGCATGGCACTCACCTGTGCGAAGGTAAGAGCTTGTAATGGCTTGAATCATGAACGGCTTCACAGTGGTGGACGCCACGAAGCCAAAGTAGAACGCCCGCGGCTGCTCTGGCATCCCCTCCCCCTGCGGCGGCCCCGGCTGCAGCACAGCACACAGAGACAGGCGCCTGTCCAGCAGCGGCTTTACTGGTTTCACTGCTGTCGTTGCCAGGAACACCTGGATGGTGCCGGGGTCTCCTGGAACATAGTCCACCCATGCCGTGTATGGCTTCTTGTTGGTCAGTAGGAACGGGGACTTCACAGCAGCGATTGATGTGTCCTGGCCGTTGATATTCAGTCCCACGTGCGGGTCCTTCATGTCGTTGTGTGGCTTGTTCTGAAGCACGTCAAACTCGATCGCCATGCTTCGGTTGTCCATCCCACCGAACCCCACTCCAGCGTTGGTCCCCACTGTGTTGGTCGTTGAAACGACAAAGGCAAACCCATTAGAAGCGGCCTTGGCTTTGGGCGAGAGGACGAAGGTGAAGTTGACACTGAAGGCCAGCTCGAACCCACAGCCTGGGTCCTGCTGTCCATTCTGGTACACAAACAAGGGCACTCGCGCTGCTGTGAACAGTCCTTTGGCTTCTGCTTTCAGTCCTGCCGTCAGCACCGTTGACGGTGGGAGAATCGCCTTTTCAAGTGGAGCAGCAAGAACCGATTCTGCACACAAGTGGAAAGGGACGGGAAAGAGCAGAGAAGGGAACAAGGAATAGCAAATTGGCAATGTATTAGGGGGTGAGAGAGGTCAAGTGAAGGCTGGGCAGCTTTCCAAGGTCCTGTAATGTGGAGTGTAAGATGAATAATGATGCCTTGTTGATTGTGGACAGGCGGAACATCAAAGCTAGGACCCTGTGAACAAAGCGCATGCACTTATACACTCATCAAAGCGTCACTTCTCTCCACTCATCTAAGATGATTTGATTCGACTCAAAACGCTCTCCACTCAGCCAAGACCATTATTACCTGCCGCGAGACAATACGTTCTTCGGAACGTGTAGAACCCTGCTTCACACACGCAGGTAGGCACCAAGTTAGGCCCGTCGGGGTAGCACAGCACGCCATGGCCGCTGCAACCCCCTGCGGCAGAACCCATAGAGATGCCGCAAAACGCACGGCACACTGACTGTGTGCGTTGCACCGGCTCAGTTTCTCCTGCGGCCAGTTTGAAGCAATTGGAGTCGAGAAGGTCGGTTGGCTTTGCAGGCAGAGTGCCCGAGAGGTAGTTGTATGAAAGCACAGCCAGCACGTTAGCTGGCTTCACAAGGCCGCCTGTGAAGTAGTTGTGAGAGAGGTCGCTGTGGGGGTGGAGCAACGGTGGGAAGAAAGGGCGGAAAGACAGTGGCAGAGCGCATGTTAGTTATTTTGGAGCACCTGAAAGCGTCAAGGAGAGGGGCACCTGAAAGGGACAGATACTGTGTGTGGCTGTTGCTAGATAGGAGGACAGGGGAGAGGTGGGAGGCTAGGGGTGAAGCGAGGAGTCACATCAGCCATCTCAGTGGGCAGAAAGGGCACAGAACGAGAAATGTAGCTAGAACGCCGTCTGGTGATGAGGCATGCAAAGGTTGACAGGTCACAGCATGCTGTAAAGCAAGGAAGATGAGTGTCGAGTAAGCAGCACTTGCCCAGAGAGCGTGTTTTGAGCAGACGCGCATACTCACTTGACAGAAAAACAGCCATGCGAGTGCCTGGCGGCGCATGTATGTGAACGAGTGAACGAGCAAGCATATCTTGCTAAGTGATGAAATTTGTGAGCAAGGTGACTGCGTATGGTATTTTGAGACGTCTCAAAGCAATAATATCTTACTAAGTGATGAGTTTTGTGAGCGAGGTGACTGAGTCTGGGATGCGTCCATAGAGATTATTGTTGGCCAGCGATCTGCGAGCGATCGTGGTGGAAGCATAATGGTGGAGGCATGGTGAAAGCAATGGTGGAGGCATGGTGAAAGGAATAGAGGCATGGTGGAGACATGTCATGATACAAGCACGTGTGCATGCATGCATGCACACATGGAAGAGGGGAGAAGGTTGAGAATTAGTGGAGGTGAAACAAGAAGATGAGAGGTGAGCAGATAAGATGAGAGGAAGGAGGAGGAGAGAAGAGGAGACAGCACTATACTAGTGGAGACCATAATGAAACGGGATCTCCTGACTAGTGCAAAGGTTATCTGTGTTAAGAATAAGAGAGCTCGTACTTGGCTGAGAGAGGTAGCATGGTGACAAATTAAGGCACACCCTAAAGAGGTTAGGATTTCATGTTCGCGTGTTCCATTGTCACCATTGGTTTCACATATGCTTACCATCATGCTAAGGTTGACCTTGCAGATGTCGGTATTTATTTAGCAGATTCCGTCGGGTGATATCTGAAGCATGTAAGCCATACTCACATGCGGAAACAAGCACCACTCACATATTTCTAAGATTGGCAAGGTTGCCGATTGCAGACGGAAGTGATTGAGTGAGCTGGTTCTTTTCAAGCCACCTGCAAAATTAAGGACAGCCATGTGATTGACAGGCATGACCGTGTGGTGAATGGCAGGCACAGTGAATGGCAGGCATGGTGAATGGCAGGCATGGTGAATGGCAGGCATGGTGAACAAACGCCATGTGCACCATTTTTTCCTGTGCTGTAACTGAACGTTGATGTGATTTGAATGCATGAATATGGTTGACCTTTGGTGCGAATGCATGCCTATGATTGATTGTTAACGTGTATGCATGCCCAGGAACTATCGACATTTTCTGGTTGGTCGTTGTAAATCACCCAGCACCATCCCATCATCTATGCATGCATGTTATGTCTGCCTCCTACGAAATATCCCCTGACTCATCATCCCTCAGCGCATGGGGTTTCTGGAAGCATGAGATTTCATTTGACTTACAGCTCCTGGAGATTCGTCAGTGTGGAGAGGCTTTCTGGGAAAGTCCCCGTCAGCTGGTTCTGCCTCAGATCCCTACCTCACAGAGAGCAGAGCAGATATATGGGAGAGACAGGACAGGACTATGAGGAGAGGGAGCATTGGGGGGGTTTGGCAAAGAAGAGAGCAGCACTTATTAAACAAGGAGCATGTACATCAAACTTCAGGTTGGAATGTGTGACGCTGTGTGAATGGCAGGGAATGATTAAGGAGTGGTTGCATAGAAAGGAGTGACAGGGGGACATGGGAGCAACCTGAGCATCGGGAGACAGGAGTAGGCATCTTTGGTTAAGGAACCTGAGTGGCGGCTTTGTTCCAAGAGGGCTTACAGGTAGGTGAGCTTGGTTAAGGTACTGAGCTCAGATGGAATGGAGTCTGACAACGCATTGCTGGCCAAGTTCCTGTGAGCAGCAACAGGGGTACAGGGGAGGGTACAGGGGATGGTGGTAGTGGGATATGAGAATGGGATAGAATGCAGTGCAGCGTGCTCATGGAGGTTTCTGGTGAAACAAAGAATAGGAGCTCTGGTTGCAGTGAGATGGGCTGGGGACACGAGAATGGACTGGGTACAACCAGGATGGGCTGTGGAAGCTAAGCTAAGCTAAGCTATGGTCATCAGAATCCAACAGGGCCAATTGAGCTGAATCTATCTATCACCAGGACTTACAGGGAGTTCAGGTCTGTAAGGGCGCTGAAAGTGGCGGGGATTGTGTCAATGAAGCGGCTTTTGAGACGTCTCAAAAGTCACCAGGACTTACAGGGAGTTCAGGACTTACAGGGAGTTCAGGTCTGTAAGGGCGCTGAAAGTGGATGGGATTGTGTCAATAAAGCGGTTGTTGTGTAAAGACCTATGATGACAAAGCATGCACGAGAAATGGCAACAGGTGGGATGCGACAAAGAAAAGTACATTGATTGGTTGGTGGTAGTGTTATAAGGTGATGAGTGCTGCGGCTGCAAAGTCATAACAGAGACTAGAGGGGGTATAAGATGTGCTTCTAGCTGCCATATCTGCATGCACTCATAACTTCAGTTGCAGTGTATGGGCACATGGACTAGCTAACACCAGAAAGGCGAGGTGATGGGAGTTTTACAGAGTAGTGTAGAAAGCAGGGAGAGACAGGAAGAGGAGACAATGAACGAATGAATTCGTAGAGAAAAAAAAAAGGGGGGGGGGGGGGGGGGCGGGGGGGGGGGGGGGGGGGGAGGGGGGGGGGGGGGGGGGGGTGTGCTGGGGGGGAGGTTTGCCACGTAAATTAGGAGACTGTGGTGTTATGTTTGAGTGAAGAGGGGAGGGAAAAGAAACTGGCGAACACTTAGCGGAGCACAAACAGTTTACTGGGTGTAAGAGTGGTTGCAGATCTTATGGAGAGGTAAAGAACTAGGAAGCAAGGACGAAGAGAAGGATGAAGGCGAGGAGATCTTGAAATGGAGTAAGGGCTTTGAAGTGCGTTAGAGAGGGGACTAAAGAAACAAAGAAACAAGAATAGAAGACCGGTAAAGAATAACAGAACCAATAATAACAGACCGGTAAAGAAATAAAGAACCAAGAACAGCGTCTCAACGATTAAAGCTTGGTGCCCCACATTCCATTTGCACCCACACTCCACTTGAACCTCTCTCACACTGCAACCTCGTTCTCAAATCAAAGCTGTGCACACAACACATCAGTCTTGACATGCTCTCAGTTCGATCTCACAAGGTGGTCAGACTGATAATTTCACTGATGCTGGCAGGGATGCTGCCTTCAAACTGGTTGGAAGAAAGATCTCTGGAACAGGATGAAAAACATGCAAAGGATATCACAGAAAGGAAGGTTCATGAGGACAAACGAGAAGGCCAAGATGGGGAAACAGAGTGAACAACGCAAGCAATTGGAACGAAAATGAAGCGACACGACAATTAAACAAATGAACTCGCAAGGAAGTGAAGCAGGGGAAGGGAAAAGGCAATTCAATCAGAGCCCCCATTCCGAATGCTCCTTGTAGACTTTTGCCATGATGCGAAGTTCGCAAGTTGAGAAGATGTAGGCCACAGCTACACAGCAGCAGCGTGACACAAACCTCGCACAGAACCGCCACAACCTTTCACCCCACTCCCTTTTGATCAAGGCGTGAGCCCATCCAGGACTCGCTCACACCCGCAGCTCTGGGTTTAGAGCATTCGAGATGAGCCGGGGCAACGAAAGGGCATGAGCAGCGGAGAGAGGGATAAGCTCTTCATTAAAACTCACAAGTTCTCCAGAAGATACAGATCACTGAGGCCAGCAGGGATGCTGCCTGAGAGCAGGTTGTTTGAAAGATCTCTGGAACAGGATGAAACATGCAAGGGATGGCACAGAAACCAAAGGTGCTGATGGGAAACAAGAATGCTTGGATGTAGGAGTAGGAAAACAAGAGCAGAGATGAACACTCCAGATGGCGTGAAGCAGGAGACCAAGCAGGTTCAGCTAAAGCTTCTTGTTCCAATCGCTTAGATATTGACGACATGAATTCTAATTTTGATCTGTCATGCCTTAAGTTGCACCCTGCAAGAAAATATTCGACTTTCAGGGCGAGTTCGAACGCGGACGAGGCCGAGGAACACTCGTCACTAGTATTACTCACGCAAGTCAACAAGAAGCAAGGCAAGTACTACTCGGATATTGGTAGGGACTGGTGGTGGTGGTCAGTGGGGAAAAAAGTGCAGGGAGAGAAGGGGTTTTGAGAAGCTAACCAGAGGAAGTGCTCATAGGAACAAGGGCGGAAAAGAAGAGAGAGAATGAAGAGATTGGAGCGAAGTAGAGAACTTACATCTCCCTTACGTAAGACCCATAGCCTGTAAATACATCAAAGGAGCCAGTGAGCTGATTACCTGCCAGGTACCTGAGTTGGTGAAGGCAAAGGAGGTACAAGGAATGAATGGGAGAGAGTAACACAAATGGAGGTAGAGAGTGTGTGTTTGAGCGTGTGTTGGAGTGTGAAAGTGTGTGTGTGAGTGTGTGAGGGTGTGAGTGTGAGTGCGAGCGTGGGTTTGAGTGTGTGAGTGTGAGTGTGTGTGTGAATGAGGGAGTGAGTGTCTGTGTGTGTGAGAGAGACTGAGAAACAACTTTCCTGCTTTTGGTTGTTCAAGATTTGTGTGAGAATTTCAGCGCGTCCAGCCAAAACTCACTTAAATTGACCATATTTACGTGGGCCCATCCAATGATTGTGTAGTATAATGCACAGTGGGTTCATCATGTCATATGCATGGACCAATGACTGTGTATGTAGTATACTGCACAGTGGTGTATCCATATCACCCATGAGTCCATCCAAGACTGTGTGGTGTACCACACAATGGTTCCCCATACGGTACAGAAGGGGGTATTGCTGATCCTTTTACTCTTGCATATGGACAAGGGGTTATGATGAACGCGAAGCAGGAAACACCGAAATGCAATCAATGAAACAACTATTATAACCCGATTGGTTGGTTTGTTGTTTCTCACACTCTCTGCAGCAGGAGCGCAGTGAATTCAGTGGGAATGCTGCTTGAGAGCTGGTTGTTTGAGAGGATACTGGAATGGGGAGAGATGCAAGGGATGGAAAGACATGCAATGGTGAGACATGCAAGGGATGGGAAGACATGCAAGGGATGGTAAAGCATGCAAGGGATGGGAAAATGCTAAGGTGCACTGCACCGCCAGCTGCTAAGCAACTAGAGACCGGAATTGATAAACAGAGGGGCCACAACGGATACAACTAACAAGGTATTGATGTGATTGGTGCAACAGATGAACTCTTGAGTCGATCCAAGCAAGCAAACTAGCGCTAGCTGGTACAATGTTTGGCATGCCAAGGGAGGTGATAAGTGGACTGAAAGGCTGCCCTGGGTGGAGAAAAGGAAAGAAGAATTTCTGGCGAGGGTCTAGAGTACACTTGTTGGCAACAAAACGGTGGAAGAGAGAAGCAGGTGGTCAGGAGGGAGAGAGGTAGGCGAGAGAAGGGCAACAAATTTGCCCAGCCAATGTGTCACCTTGCAGGCGCAGTAACACAGAGAGTTAAGGGGAATATGCAGTGACTGCGGTGCGGTCTTACAGATGGTCAAGGTTTCTGAGCGTGCTTAATGCAGCAGGGATTGTGTCGGTGAGCTGATTGTGACTAAGATCCCTGTGATTGTGAGAGAGGGAAATGAGGGATACAAGACCGCAAGAGAAAGAGCAGAGAACGGAACGCTGGTGAGTGGAGCAACCACATTCCATTGGTGGCACGAATATATACACACATGTTTAAACATATATATCTGCGTATATTCACGTGCACATGTATATGTATATATATTGCAGAAACATGACAGCAGCGTCACAGCGCTATGGAAGGTATTTCTGGAAAGTGCATCAGGCAAGGGAAGAAAAGCAGGGGTAGAAGCAATGAGAAGAAAACCTCTTTCCACATGCTCTGACCAACGTGTCAAAACTATACATGTCGATGCAAGGTGTAATCACACATGGTTAATCATTAAACACACATGTGCAGAGAACGAGGGTGGGGGGGGGGTTTGACTGTTACAAGACGAAACTTAATTCAGACAAAAACAACAATAGGGAACACAGAGAAACTAGAAGAGAATGAGGGTCTTATCTTACAGCGACCACAGATTCCCGAGGGCACTTAAATCAGCAGGGATGCTGCCTGAGAGCTGGTTGAATGATAAATCACTGGGATGGTTTGAAACATGCAAGAGAGATAAAGAGACACTGGAGCTGATTACAAAACAAGACAAAACAAGAAACCCCTCAGGATTCTGTGTAAGCAAAAACCAGATATAAAACTCATCGTTATTGTCATGATGGAGGACAAGCTTTTGAACGAGCAGCAGGGGAAAATTTCATGTTGGGGTTGCAAAATATCATTCAGACTGTCATCGCCTAGTAATGTCCACATAAATCGATACATTCGCAGTGCTGGCTTTTCAAAAACAAAGCAGTGAGAGAATATCAGACAGAAGAGAGGGACCGAAGGTGCTTGGACGGGTAGAAACGTCCAGCATCAGACTAGCAGGGGACAACATGGAAGGAGAGAAAGAAGTATGGAAACTCAAAACTTACAGAGTATTTATTGTTGTAAGTATGGCAAACTTTGCAGGAATTGATCCCGTGAGCTGGTTTTGACCGAACGATCTGAGATGATAAGCACTCGATGTGAATGAAAGATCGGGCCAGTAACACATGGGATGGTCTTGAGAAATGTGCACTGACTCAGGGAATGCTGTGAACTGTAACAAATGGGGCGGGCAAGAGATGTGTGCAGATGACGTTTGTGGGGATTTGTGTGCAAATCGGAGATGGACCTGTTTGGACCTGTTTGGACCTGTGTGAATGTATGCCGTTTGCAGGCAAAACGGAGGAAGAGAACAGAGAATGAATGGGGACCAGAATAAACAGAGAAATGGTTCAACGGCTGCAGTCACTTTGCATACCCTGTGAGTGAGGATACCTGCAGCTGTATTCCAGCTCGACTCAAGTCATGAGCCTATCTATCTATCTATCTATCCTGTGATGAGTCTATTTTCTAATTGACTCAAAGTTTGACTCAAGTCATGACAAATCATCAGGATTAGTCATCTTGAACCCCTCCCCTACTAGCTTTTGTCGACGGCGTATTGCTTTGAGTTGAATTGAATCTGCTCTGGCAGTGTTGTGTTGTGAATGACAATCAGCAAGGCGGCGAAACGTCATGGTAAGATCACCGCAAGAAACGACAGTGACGAACGATGGGAACGGATGAATGACAGGTATGAAAGTAGGGACGCTTGGGTGGCCATTGAGAGGTATGAGTCGAGTGTGGTATCAGAACACTGAGGTCTTAAGGAAGACAAGTGTGAGAGAGATAAAGTGGAGGAAGAGAAGGGAAACATAAGGAATACCAGCTTCTTACAGTTCCCGTGAAGTGAACGTTCATAAGTTGAAACTGGAGTGGGAATTGAACGTGGTGAAAGTGTATTTCTAAGTCATCTAAAAAAGCATAAGGGATACCGGATGCTTACAGATGCCGTAAAATCCCATAAGGTGGAACCGGAGTGGGAATTGAACCACTAAGTTGATTCTTTTCAATGTTTCTGTGGCAGGAAAGACAGCAAGAAACAAATAAACACGCAAAACATGACACTCTTATAAATAATGTATAAAAGAAGCATACACAACAGAAATTCTCAAGACTCACACTCTGCCACGCATGCTCACATTTTAACTAATTAGTATCGCATTATAACATTAATGAATGCTCATATGGCCCAACTGGTTGACTGTAGGTCAGTTGTTGCAGCCAATCTCAAGCTCCAATCCTCTATTTTCCCCAAATCTGTCGCCCATCCCCTCATCATCAAATATATCCCTACCCACAGCATAGACCCCCGTGCTTTTGCCAGGATTATGAAAATAAAAATAAAGAAACTCCTTAGATGATTGCGACTATAATGAACCTGTGTCCGTTTGACTCGAACCATAAAGAATCGACCTATGAATGATGAATTCCAGATCAAGGGCGGATACAGATTGGTTCAAATTCGACCCGAACTGGTTCGTTCCATTTGTGTGACACACACTAGAGGAGAGCAGGAAACGTTGGGGATAGTAGGCTTACAAGGACATCAATCTTGGGTGCGTAAATAATTCGATAGGGATGGAGCCATTGAGCTGATTGTCGTTCAGATACCTGAGACGTGTTGATCAGGGATGGATCATAGAAGACAGAGATGCAAGAAGCAGCGTATGAGTAGGGAATACATGGAACAGGGGGGGAAAGAATTGATCGAGTGATGGTGTAACCAGAATGTCAAGAAACGGTTGATGTGTTTCTTGGGATATACAATTGCAGTGCAGAGAACAGCGGGGCATAAGAGGCGATGCATGCACAAGCAAATCCTTCGATACATGCATCCTGCTGAAATTAGTTTCAAAGTGTCCATGCATTGAGAGCCCAGAAAGAGTAAGTTAAAAGGTAGGGCGAGAAGAAGCTAATTATAAAAAAGGGGAAAAACATTGACTTGGGAAGAGTGAAAGCGGATAGGCATGAAGCAGAAGGAGGAAACAGTGGAAAAGGTTTCAAAAAAAACTAGGAAAGGCCTTACAGGTTGTAAAGGCTTGTCATGTTGGTGATCGTTGCAGGTATTGAACCAGAGAGCTTGTTAGAAGCGAGAACCCTGTGAAGATCATATCACAGCACCCAGTGGAATGACGGTTATTGACTAGGGATTTCGTGAAACCGAACAAATGGTATGGGCAACGATGCCAGCTGATGGAATTTTCAAGATCACCGCTTTGGGAAGTCGTCATGTGCACGGCAAACATTATATGTTGAGCCAAATTGGTGAGAACGGGCAATTCACATTCTCAAAGGTGAGTCGTCCGCACACAATAAAAAAATGGGAAAGTATAGGGTGAGGGGTGTGATAAAGTAAGAGAGGAACAAGGAATGGGAAAGGACATGAATGTAACTAGCCAAAACCCGAAGGGAACAAGTCAAGGGGGAAGGCACAAAGGGGAGGAGAGGAGACATGAAAGGATTAAGGAAAGAAGGACGAATAATGTACGAAGCGAGCAATACAAGGGGGAACACTGAAGCGGACGGCTCAAAGGGAGAAGACAAGGAAACAAGACAAGGGGGAAGACGTGAAGACAACAAGGGAGAAGGGGAGGATGGGGGAGGAGGAATCATGGGCATTAACAAACAGTCGTGAATAGATAATCAAGGTGAAAACAGGTCAATTAACATCACAAGGGAACAGATTTTAATGAAGCAGAGCAGAGGAAAACGAGGAGGAGGTTTAGAAGTGGGGAAAGAGGGGGGGGGGGGGGGGGGGGGGGGGGGGGGGGGGGGGGGGGGGGGGGGGATGGGGGAGGGGAAGAGCGGAAAGGTAAGGGAAGGGGGGGGGAGAAGGGGGGTGGAGAGGGGGGGAAGGGGTGCGGGATGGTGGAGGAAAAGGGTGGAGGGGATAGGGAGGTAGGAAGGATGGTTAAAATGGTGGTCGACACAGTGGACAGGGGCGAGAAAGGACAAGAAAATGAGGGGCCAGAGAGGGGGAGGGAGGACAGAAGGTTAAAGGACAGAAAGGGAGTAACCAGACTAGACCGCAGGTGAACGAAAGGGGGGCTAGAAGATGGGTATATGCAGACAAAGCATGCGTCTTACATTGTGGTCACGCCTTGAAGCCAGCCAATAGAGTCTGGAATCGGGCCGCTAAGCTGAGTCTCTGTCAAATATCTGTAATTATAAAATAATGCGTCCAATTGTATGGGTACAAACAGGAGGGTCATCCATGTGAGGGGAGACGGAAGGAAGGAGCAAAGATAAGGCAGGGAGGGAACGAGAGAAAGATGGATACAAATGAGAGAGAAGAATAGTAGAAGTATGAAGCAGGCGGGTCAATTTCAACGAGAGAGAAGAGATGCAGGAGATCTTGTTAGTGTACTGTGCATCAATCTAGCGAGAATCTCATGTGCTCCATCCGCTATTAGTTCCTGTCGTATTGGTTACAGGCAGGCCATTGGTTTGATTCGAACATATTACGCTGCATGCGGAGAAGAGGCAAAGAAGGCGAAGCAACAAGAGCAGCAGAGGAAGTGAAACACGTGGTAAAGCAGTGGACACGAGCATCGGGACGGGCTCAGGATGGACGACCTGAGCTGGACCTCCCGATCATGGTGGGTGGGCCGAGCCTGGCCTCCCGACCCATACCAGGATGGGCCAAGCTGGGCCTCCCGATCCATATCAAGGGACTATTTCTGTCTCTAAGGCGCCTCAAAGGCCGAACTGGGCCTCTCGCTCCATATTGTGGTGAGGTGGGCCGAGTCGAGTTGCAGCCGCTAAAACGACAGCCCACCCAGCCCACCCACATTTGTCCTTCGGTTCGAAGGTTCAGAAACGAATACTCTGACTGAACCAAGCTTGCCAGCGCAAAAGGTTTGGTTGGTTGGCTTGGCAAGGCGAGGATTCAGAACTCCGTGCCGACACTTTCTTTCCGCAGTAACATTTCGCCAGGATTCAGGGTTTTGGGAGTCCAATGTAGACTCTCGTCTTAAGCCATGTCAGGGTTACGCCCATTCTGCCCTTTTCAATCTATGCCCCGTCCCCAGCAGGTGGCCAGTCAGCCTGGGCTTATTCCCTTCCTTTGCCCATGGCTGCCCATAACTATGTTTCAAGGAGTAGCTAGAAATTTTATAGTGAAGCGCGCAAGAATGTGAGTATTTCACGTGGCTGTGCTGAGATTCGGAATAAAAAGCAGCGAACTTACAGGGCATCGAGATATCGAAGTAAGCCGATTGTAGAGGGGATGGGCCCAGTAAAATTATTCGTGTAAATATACCTGTGGTAAAGAACACACACAGAAAAGATCAGCGGCAGAGACCCAAACCACACATAGAAAAGAAGCAGAATCGTTTTGGAGCTTGCGACATTGGCAGAGGTCCAGAGGAAAGTGGATGAGAGAAGATATGTCTGAATTGGCTCATTCTCTGTTGTTGCTAGCCAGGCAAGAGACTTTGAAGCGAGTAAGCTTGCCGCGTGCCTATAAGAACAAGCACAATCACCACAGCTCTATAGTCATCAGATAAGACATAATAAATCTCATGCTTGTGTCCTTCCTTAATTCTTTTGGTGCAGCAATTGCAGGGAGTCTTCTGAATCTGTTGCCGTGCATCCAGCTACCAAGCACTCCGAGCACCAAGGAAACTTAACGTGCATTAAGAGCGTGAAGTAGGAGAAATCGAAGGGGCAGGAGAGTTATTGGAAAGAGCGGGAGCGGACAAGCATTCACCAGGAAAGAAACTGGGGGGGGGGGGGAGAATGGGGGCGCAAGGCGACAGAGGCCTTACAGCTGTCTCAAATTCGAAAGAGAGCCAAATCCTTCAGGGAGTGATCCGGTCAGTTGATTGCCATAAAGATTCCTGACACAATGATCGCATGATACATTTTTTATGCATGATGCATCAAAGTAGTTTGGCCAGGGACAGCAGATAAGAGAAGCTGTGTGATAAGGCCACGTCAATCGATAGGGAAAGGAATCAGAAGAACTGTGTGAATGTTGCTCGTACGAACCACCGCATTGGAAGGGGTTTCTGTAATGGAACAACAGCATCGGCTCTGAACAACGTTAAGCGAGATTTGGGAGTGGCAGGAAGGAGCTAGCTTGAGGAAAGGGGGAATGGAGTAAAAGGAAGCACGAAAGCGGAAGGCTCACAGATGTATCAGGTCAGTGAGAAGGGTAATCCCATCAGGCACGGATCCTGTGACCTGGGCGCGTGGTAGTCGTCTGTAGTTACGAAATGCATTCATTGGAATTTGGGTGGTGTGTGTGTGGCAAACGTCAAAGATGCCGTTGAAATGAGGGTGGAATTTGGGAGGACGGAAGGAGCTCGATTAGAATGGAGGGTGGTGAGGATCGGAAAGAAAAACAGAGGATGTGATGTGAACGAATAGGGCGGTATATATATGAATGTGCAGATGAAAACAAAGGGTGATAAGGATTCAAGTTGTGAGGGTGGTGAGGTGAGGGGAGACAAATAGCAGATGAAGGTATTGAAATGTTGAAAAAAACAAAAATCCAGGACAAATTATTAGGAATAAGCGATACTGTAGCACACGAGAAACTCTCTAGATTCTTGCTCGGCACACTAACACGGTCATAGTAGGTCATAACTCACAAGACTTGCAGTTTTCTCAGATCACTGATGCTAGCAGGGATGCTGCCTGTGATCGGAGTGTATGCGATTTCACTGCACATTTGGAGAAAAAATACATGGTGTACAACACAGTACACATGCACAAAGTTGTTTTGATCAACTTAGGTGGGTAAGAGTGTGGTCTAGAGTGACAAGAGTTCCAGCTGATGTATCCAATACCGCTGCGATTTCATAAAATTACAGTCAGAGCCTGTAACGCCCGTGGGCTAGTGTTAAGGGCAATCCGCTGCGCCAAATAACACCCTCGTTTTGACCCAGTGGGTAGCGAGGTGTTACATTTGGAATCAGAGCCTAAGGTTCAAATCTTGGCTGACCCACATTTTCCGCCTGTGGGGAGAACTTCAATGTGGTAACCGGATTGAACCCAGCGAGGTCGCTGCCTCCTTCTCAGCGAACTAGGTCCCTGCGGGGGCCGACTCTCTGAAGTCCAGGGCCAACGGGGACGTTGACACCAGGGGGGGACGAGTGTAACGCCTGTGGGCTAGTGTTAAGGGCAATCCGCTGCGCCAAATAACACCCTCGTTTTGACCCAGTGGGTAGCGAGGTGTTACAGAGCCTACCAGAAAAGGGAAAGAGAAAATGAGACAAGAACAACGTAGAGTTTGTTTGTAAGAGGTGCATATCTCATGAAACTGTCACATCGACTCCACAGCAAAAGGTCGTACTGGTGTTTTACAGGAACCTTGCTCTCAAGGCATGGGGTTCATCCCCTAGATATCACCTCGCTACGACGCTACCCACTTGGTCGAAACGAGGGTGTTACTGAGGCGTAGCAGATTGCCTTGCCTTCAACTCAACACTAGCCCGCAGGAGTTACGTTACACGCGCCGTCGTCACCCCCGCCCCTGGTGGTGTCAACATTCTCGTTGGTTCCCAACTTCAGAGAGTTGGCCCCCGTGTGTGTGTGGGGACCTCCTCACTGTCGCTTACTGCATGCAAACTCCGCTGGTGTGTCGAGCCAGCGGAGGACCTTTTGCTGGGTTCAAGTCTGGTAACCACATTCAAGTTATTGCTACAAGCGGAAAACGTGGACCAGGCGGGATTTGAACCCTCGGCTCTGATACCAGTATAACACATCACTACCAGCTGGGTCAAAACGAGGGTGTTTTTGGGGCGCAGCAGAGCCAGCCGGAGATACACCCTGCGTGTCGCACAGAAGGGGCTTTTCCACCCCTCCATGGGCATACATAAGGGGTTTTTCCACCCCTCCATGGGCGCACATAAGGGGCTTTTCCACCCCTCCATGGGCGCACATAAGGGGCTTTCCCACCCCTCCATGGACGCACAGAAGGGGCTTTCCCACCCCTCCATGGGCGCATGGACGCAATCAGTAATGAGATATCCAACACGACTCCACAAATCTCACAGTTTTGTTATCATCCCGCTGCCGTCGCAGGTGACGCCAGTAGTGGTGCTGCAGTCGGGATTGGCGTCGGTCCAACCAGCAAAGGTCTTCCCCCACGCCGAGTCCTGCAGGACCAGAGCTGTAGGCCGGGGTGTGGGAAGCAGATGTGAGAAGTTTATCATTACAAGTTCTTGCGGTGAGAGTTTACACGTCGTTACACGACTAGTGAGGCTTTCAAAAGCCAGCCGCCAGGCGGCCTGCCTGGCCTCGGCGAGCGCCTCTCACCTTGCGTCGGGTCGAGGGTCACCGCGTCGACCATCGCGAGGGGCGCAGCGACAAGGGCGGTAATCCACAATGCAAGCACCAGCGTGCGGTCCATCATTGAAGCTCGCCGCACCATCATGACCGGCGCGTGGAGGTAATTGTGACGCACGAGGCGGCGTTTTGGACTTTGTTTCGACAGCAGCTGAAATAGTGCGTACGTATCCGTGACTGAAAGCTGGAGCCTCAAATCCCCCAAGACTGCCTCAACCTTGCTATCTTGGTTAGGTGTAACCCAGTAGAGAGCAGCCTACTTCGCGAATCGTCGCGCAACGTTTTTCCTTCAATTGATTCTACGCGAGGGAATTCTCGAGTGGCCTCCTACTATCATATCAAGCAAGAAACGAATCGCCGAGAAAAATCTCCCCTCCGAGTTTAATCTCAGAAGCTGCGCCTTCGTTCTGATGCAGAAGCCGCTGCCAGTGGGTAGTTCCTCGGCAGAGATACTGCGAAAATACGGCGCGTAGAACCACTGGCAGTGCTAGCACCACCACGGACGCGAACTCAGTTTTGCTGTTAGTAATTCTCATGAATGCTGTACTCAAGCAGTCACTTCTACAAAAGTAATTTCTGGTGTGCGAGAATCCGGTCGGGTAGTTTAGTTTTTTCTTTTTTTCCTACCGTGCCCTTTTTCCCGACTTCTAGATTCATTACCAACCACACTCTTCTTCAGCTTCAAGGGCAAGTGCAGTGCGGTAACCCCCTTCCTGAACTTGAAACTGGTGGTTAGTATTGTATCTTGCAAGGGATTGGCCACTGCCGAGTGACTAGCTTTTGTCGGCATCGCCCGACGAAGCAGCAAGCAGATATTGTACTGTACGTCGTTTGTGATGCATGCGCATCAAGGTCCTCCCATTCAAAGAGCCGTCTCCCAACCAGAAACTGTGCACAGCCATCCGGCGTTTCGCCAAAGCGAACAGTGATACAATTGGGGAAATTTTCGTTGGAACTACTGTAGTACAGCTACTGTACTTTCAGGGTGAAGCCGGGCTGAGTACACTCGGCGGAGGTCGTGTTAGTCGTGTGCAGACCAATTTGGCTGACAACCCTATTGCCCAAGTCTTTCTTGGGAGGTTCCATTTCCTGCAGGGCAGGAGCAAGCCCGTGAATGCAGCTGACAGATTGTACTCGTAAACACTTCCGTGTTGGCCAAGATTGGGCACTTTCAGCTTTCACGACACGACACCGATTACAGGCATGGACTCCAAGTTATGGGTTGCAATTTTTTGCGGAGAGACACAAGTAGATTTTTCATTTTATTTTGGGGCATAATACACAACGTGTTTGACATCAAAAATACCTACTGCCCAACTCACCAGTTTGTTCTGGTCAGGGGGGTACTTCTGTTGAGCAAACGTTGGGGTAGCCAACTTTTGTGTGCGTTGACCCGAAATTTTTGGGGGAAGAGTTTCCCCCGACCTTTCCCCTCCCCCCCCAAAAAAAAAATTATTGATTGATTTTGATTGGGCCTTTTCCTCGTTTGGTCACTCCCGCTTGAAGGTGGTGGTGGGAGTCAGGGCTGACGATTCAAGGGCAAATGCCCTTAATGCCCTGAACATTAAGGGCTGTGTTCGGCCTAGCTTCCGATTTTTATGGGTTAGATTTTAGGGCAACCCGTCCCCGTAAAGTGCTGGTTGCGGGCCTAACCCGGATTTAAAGTGCAGATCCCGGGGCTAACCCTTATGTCCCATACTAATACCTCCCTCCCTCCCATTCCCTCACCCGTTCCCCCATCTCCTCCCAGTCACTTCCCCAACTTCCTTCCTTTCCCATCCCCGTCAAATCCATCGACATGTTTTCGTACCTCAGCCTATTGCCTGAATAAATGTGGGTTTTCCCTTTACGAAAGTGCAAGAAAGCTGACAGGCCCGGATTTCAAGTGCTAGGTTAGCTCTCAGCCCGTAAATTTCAGGGCAACTTTTGGGGCACCTCAGCCTCTCAAGTTCTGGCTCCAAACCAATCGACAGCCCTGGTGGGAGTGTGTGTGTGGTTGCCAACCAGATGTGCCCTTCAAATTCGAGCCGGCCTGAAAACTTGTGGATGCGAGGGCGGTACACCTGCCTGCTGTTGTCGACATCGCCAACGGTTGCATCCAAACCTGGCTCCGACCGACCACCGCTGCAGCACAGCACCTGCAGCGCAGTGAATGCATGCACCAAGCAACACCCAAGCAGTCGATTTTGTCGACTTTGCTAAAACTGTATCACAGCTGACTCATAAACCCCTGTATTCTATTCCTACAGTACTTGCAACATTCTTTTAAAAATCACATACCGTCATACCCCGGATATAAGCGCCACCCGCGGATAAGCGCCTGGCGCTTTTAATTGGCGTGTGGCGCTTTATCCAGTGCTCGATTATAAGCGCATACATAAAAGGCTTACAGATTATAATCGCATACCTATGCTTTACACATTATAAGCGCCACCCTGTTCTTATGGTTTTTGGGTTGCGTAGCAACCTTATACATTCGTTTTCACTTTTCGGTTGGCTGATGTGAACAGTGAATTTCTCTTATAAATTTTGAGAGAAATCACTGTTCACATAGCTTCCCCAAAAAAATGAAAACAAATGTTTTCAATCATTCCATAATCGTCGATAAGTACGGCGAATGGAACAATTGAAGAATCGTTCAAGCACTAAAGATGATACGGTACCCAATGACACACGAACACAAAATACAACACAACACAAAAAATACTACAATACCGTACCACCTAGAGACACACATACGGGTACACGAATGAACACAAAAACGATGGTGTACAAGAACCGTCGTACATGTTTTGAAGGGGATACTAAATGCATCAATGCAACAACTGAGACTGATATGGTACGGAAGAGGCGAGCAAAGCTGCCCCACCGACGATCACAATCCCAGTTGCATACACGAGACACTTAGCACCACACCCCCGAAACAAGCACAGACGATAACACATAAATGATTACAAAAACAGAAGACAACATTTAAGAATGTTTCAAAGCGAATGCTAAATGCATAAGTGCTGCAACCGAGATTGATATGGTACGGAAGAGGCTAGCAAAGCTGCCCCACCGACGATCACAATCCGAGTTGCATTCACGAGGCACTTAGTGTCAAATGTTGTAGCCTATAGTGAGGTTTGTCTTAGGGGGTACAAAACTTAGGGTTAGCTATATGTACCCCAACCAACATCAATGCACCATCCATTCTTCATTCTGACATGGTATCAGTTAGGTTAGGATCCTGTGGGATCCCGTTCCTCCGTTCTCCGTTCGAGCCTCCCGAGCCTGATCCTAGCTCTCATTCGTCCCGGTTCCGTTGTTACCGCGCGTAGTGCCGCGCCTAGCGCCACTCCTAGCGTCGCGTCCTGCCCGCCCTTTCCCCCTCGTCGCGTCCCTTTCCCCCCGTCGAGTCGCGCCCTTTTCCCCCCGTCGCGTCGCGCTCTTTCCCCCCGTCGCGTCGCGCCCTTTCCCCCCGTCGCGTCGCGCCCTTTCCCCCCGTCCCGTCGCCCTGCCCCGTCCCGTCCCGTCTCCCCGTCCCGTCGCCCTGTCCCGTCTCACAGTCCCGTCTCCCCGTCCCGTCGCCCTGCCCCGTCCCGTCCCGTCTCCCCGTCCCGTCGCCCTGTCCCGTCTCCCCGTCCCGTCTCCCCGTCCCGTCGCCCTGTCCCGTCCCGTCCCGTCTTCCCGTCCCGTCGCCCTGCCCCGTCCCGTCGCCCTGCCCCGTCGCGTCGCCCTGCCCCGTCCCGTCGCCCTGCCCCGTCGCGTCGCCCTGCCCCGTCGCGTCGCCCTTCCCCGTCCCGTCGCCTCTGCTCCGTCGTGTCGCCCTGTTTCGTCGCCTCGCGGCCCCCCGTTCCGTCGCCACCGCCCGCGCCAGCGCCAGCAGCAGCTACCGCCAGCGCCAGCAGCAGCTACCGCCAGCGCCAGCAGCAGCTACCGCCAGCGCCAGCAGCAGCTACCGCCGCCCTGCCCTTTCCCCCGGCCCGTCGCCCTAGCCCGTTCTTCCGCTGCGACTAAGTCCCCCCCCCCACCTGAACCCTAATTTGCCTCTTACCTCCTGCTGTTACTCGCCTGCTCGTTCGCGTTAGTTCTCGCTATGGCGACTCCGCGAGTTCTTCGTTTCGACGCTGACGGTAGACCTCTTGACTTTTCCGTCTGGCTTCTTCGCGCTCGCCGTCTGTTAGAGAGTCAAGTCCAGGGGGGCGAGACCCTCTGGTCGCACGCTACTGGTGACCTCCCCGAGCCCCCCGAGCCTGCCGCTTTAGGTCCTGCCCCTGACGATGCTGCTACGGCTCGCTTTGCCCGTCAGCGCGCTGACAGGACGGCTTGGACGTCGCGTGACGCTGCGGCCTGCATCGCACTCAGCAGCCTCCTCCCTGAGTCAGAGGAGGTCCACTTCACTCAGGTTCGCACCGCTGCTGCGTACCTCACTGCGATTAAGGCCCGCTACTCTACTCCCGCTACTGTCTCTCTTGGCCGTCTTTTCCTCCCGTTCCTGTTTCCTGATCTCGCCTCGTTTGAGCGCTCTGCTGACTTGATCGCTCACCTCCGCTCGCTCGACGCTAGTTACCGCGCTGCTTGCACTGAGGCACAGCTTGCACTGCTTCCTCCCCCTATGGCGATTACTATCTATTTCATCGCCACTAGCCTCCCTGACCGCCTTGCCTCCGTTCGCGACGCGCTTCTGCTGAAGCACCCTAGTGAGCTCACAGTCGATGTCCTTGAGTCTGCACTCAAGGACGTCGAGAGCAACCTTCGCTCGGTAGCCGCTGCCTCTGGTGCTGTGCCCCCCCCACTCTTCCACGGGTGCACAGTCCCGCAGTTACCCACCTTTACTGCCTCACTTGCCACTGCCGCTACTGACGCGACTGCAGCTGCTGTTACGACTGCGTCGCGGTCCCGCGGTAGGAGTGGCAAGAAAGGCGGTTCTGGTGGTGGTAGTGGAGGTGGAGGCGGAGGTAGTGGAGGTGGCGTTGCGCCTGGCGGCGGTGGAGGTTCAGGGCCTGGAGAGGCGCCTCGTGCAGTGACTGGTGACTCCACTGCGCCTGCTAGTGGTGGCGACGCCCGGGTTCGTCAGTCGCCTCCTGTACTTCCTGCCCCGGT